CTAAAAATCAAATAATGATAATATAAGTCTAAATATACTTAGCCCACATATTGCTCCTATGACATGTTTTATTCTATCCATATGGTGAATCCGGTTGGCAACCAAACTTATATCTTCCTACTTATCACAACACAATGCATAAAGTATCCATGTTACAATACAAAGTAGCACAAATAACCATAAAAGATGGCGAAAGAAACCAATTCTTAATGCCGGTAAATTATTCCAACAGTGGATAACTGACTCATACCTTCAAGTTGAAGCTAACAATCTCAACTATCTCAGACAAAATCAAAAGAGTCTTAGAATAGGACAATATAAAGGACTTATTGACTATCTTAACATGGACAATAATGAAAACATTGGTAGACCTGTAATCTTACCATCAACCTTTCAAGGATCATCAAAAAACATGAGAGAACGCTATCATGATGCTATGACAATTGTCACCATGTATGGTAAACCAGACTTATTTATTAATTATTATGACATGTAATCCAAATTGGAAAGAGATTAGAGATAACCTATTTCCAGGACAACAACCATATGACAGACCAGACTTAATTGCAAGAGTATTTATAAGCTGAAACTGAATACACTGTTAAGTGATATAATAAGAAACAAAATAATTGGTGAAGTAATAGCACACGTATACACAATTGAATTTCAAAAGAGAGGATTGCTACATGCACACATACTTATTATACTTAAAAACAAAATAGATACAGTAGAAAAGATTGATAGCATAGTTTCTGTATAGTTTATGCTAATCCAAATGCACCATGCATGGAAAATAATGTATGTACAAAGGAATTTCCTAAGGACATATGCAATGCTACTAGAATTATTGATGGATACCCAGTTTATAAAAGAAGGTATACTGAAAATATTCAACATAAGAACTTTGCTGTTACTAATACACACGTCGTACCATACAACAAGTACCTCTTAGAAAGAAACAACTGCCATATCAATGTCGAGGTATGTACATCCATTAAATCTGTTAAGTATACAGGGTGTTCCACAATTATTTTAACAGCCGAAAATGAGGGGTAGCTGAGGTAATTTGAAGTAACTTTTTCCTTTGCGAAAATGCAATCTGCGGCTTTGTTTACGAGTTATTAACGAAAAACACTGGCCAATGAGAGGTGACGGTGCGAGAGAGAGAGTCCGCGATAGAGTCCGCAGCACGAGGCTTTGACAGATGGTCGGGACGGACTCGAGCCGCGTTCGAAGTATTGAACAAATCACGAAGCGAGAACTTTCCGGATTTTTTTACTACATAACAGTGATATTTTTAAGAAAAACGCTGTTCACCTTTACTTTAGAACGTCTGAAAAATATTCACTAATTTTTCGGACTCGAAATAATATGTAGTTTAACCGTGACAGCCGTTTTAATTTTAATTTAAATAATTCCGTGTACGAACAGAATTCAATGAATGATTCGCAAAGCTGATTTAATAATAAATAATCACGTTAAGGTACGTAAAGGATTTGTTCTTTAGAGAAATATGAAAAATATTATCGGTAAGAAACTCATCCATTTAGTTGAGGATGCATTTGCTGACTCGTACGTACTGACCTCGTACAACGAACAGCTGATCCCAGGTCGATGACCGCAACATTCGAGGGATACTGTCGGTGGAACCTCTGGTATGGTTATTTGCGAAGTTCACTTACACTGCACTGTCACCAAACACTGATCAGTTATTTAATCACTGATAATCCGAATCACTTGTGGATATTTAAGAAAGATCACTGAGACTCGTTCGCGGATAATCGTTTATTCGACGCGTTCGTTCGGAAGTCGACGTTTCACTGCCGAAAAATTCAGGCCTTGACTGTGGGCCCTTGTTGATCGTCGTTCGGCTGTCCGAGGAAATGACACTCGATACCATTTTCTTCGCACGGCCATTAATTACGTTCTAAGNGCCGAAAAATTCAGGCCTTGACTGTGGGCCCTTGTTGATCGTCGTTCGGCTGTCCGAGGAAATGACACTCGATACCATTTTCTTCGCACGGCCATTAATTACGTTCTAAGAGCGCAGGGTACCGTCGGTGACAGCGGGTCGGACACAGTTTACGTCTCGGCATATCTTGTTTATTTCATTTAGCGGTACCCCGCGCTTCGAAGAAAATGGTATCGGGTGTTATTTCCTCGGACGGCCGAAAGACGAACGACAAGGGC